GACATAAATTACATGACCAGTGAAAGATAAATATTATGATACCATTTGAATACTCAGATGAATTATTTAAAATTATGTTGTTTCCAAAGTGAGATATATATTGATTCTCCACAACCCGAGACCAAGGATTCTTGAGCAGTCTCCTTGCCCCCTGGCTCATAGGACCTGGGGACGGCCGACGTTTCAGAGTAGCACTTAGGATTCCTTTAGTAACTTGACTAGGATCTTGTCGAGGTATATCAAGGGTATTAGAGTGAAGGAAATAAAGTGAGTACGGCCTCGTGTAATGGCAAAGTCCTTGTGAAAGAACTCATTCCTTTTCTCTGCGCACACCCACATCTCGTTCCAGTAGACAACTTGAGGTGGCTCAAAACGGTTTCCTTTCCTGTGATAATTTTTTGAAGCTACTAGCCTACTAGCCTTTTTTCCCTTTTATCCCCAAAACGATTTTGTTTCTTTTGTCTCCACCCAGCCTTGAAAGTTTCCACCCTGAGCTTCAGCGACTCTTTGCCTGTCACTGTATGAAATCTAAACAGGAAATCAAGGTTAAGTATGACCGTGTGCAGTTTCTTTTTTAGTAAATGAAAGGATATTCCTATCAGTCCAGTTGACTGCAACTTCCTTTACCTTAAATTTAAGAACTGCGTCGGAACACGACTAAGTGTTAACGCATTAAGATCACAAAAACGTCATGGTTAAGTCAAAACACTTTTGCTTCAACATGTTGCTAGAGTTTGTCTGTATAGTGCGTCATTATCCAATCACCCCCCCTCCCCCCTCCTCCACTCCCATAGTGGTTATGTGCAAATGCAAATCTTTAACTAAAGGCTGATAGTTTCGAAAGAAACTGTTTGGGGCTGCGTCGGTGGGGGTAACGGAATAATTTGGATATATCAAAGTTGAAATGGTAAATTGGACACCGTAACGATTACAAAAGCTAACCTTTCGAGCGTTAGCCCTTAGTCGGAGCGAATTCGCTCCGACGAAAGGCTAACGCTCGAAACGTCAGCTTTTGTAATCGTTACGGTGGCCAATTTACCATTTCAACTTTGTTGATATATCCAAATCAAATCTTTAACTGTTTACTCGTAGGATATGCAACAGAGTTTTCAGTATAGAAAGTTCGAAATTAAGCAGAACAGCAAGTTCCTTTTATAACTACGACTGTTGAGCTTTTTGAAATTACATTTTAGCTTTAAATGCATGTTGTCTATACATTACATCGATGCAATGTGAATAATTGAGGTATCCCCTAGACAACTATTTTCGTTTAGTCTGGAGCGGAATTCGTCTCTTCGACCCAATCCCATGGGAGGACACCGCGAGAACAGCTGTTAGCCATTGTGTGCTTCCATGTCCGTTTCGCTGTGCGTTACCCTGTGCGTTACTTCGTGCAGATGTTTAAAGGCTTGATCTTTGCAATGCATAAGGCTTGATGTTTAAGAAGTTTAAACACGAAGGCGCGCTATAAAAGGAGCCTTAGGTCCCACTGGACCATTTGTCAATCAACCGTCGTGTGATGTAGAACTCTTGAGTCAAGTCAGCTTGAGCTACAGCTACTCCAAAGGAGTGAATAGCGGGCGCATTCCTCAAAATTGTTTTATGTCTTCATCACAATACAAGAATTTTTGAGATTTGTATTTCCTTTCTCTAATGAAAATTGTCTTTATTTGTGGCGGTAAATTTGAGATCTAAGCTAAGTAGGTGGTTCGCACGTTACCTCATGCCACCATGCTGGTGGAAGTAAACAATAGATATCTCATTAGCTCCTTTTGTTCGTCTACCAGCATTTAAATTTCACCCGCACACGTCAACAGTGAGTGACAAATGAGCCTAGGTCTTCCCAGGGAAGACTTCCTTATATTGCGCGCCTTCGTGTTTAAAGGCTTGATCTTTGCAGTGCATAAGACACCTGGAACATGAGTTTAAAATTCACCGTTATGGGATGTGGTCCGTGATTGGGGTTCAAACTCTGGCGCAGGGAAATTCTCGTTTTTCTTTCTTTTTTTTTTTGTTTTTTCACATTATATTTTTTACCTTGTTGATAATCAGTCTTTAATATCTTTCTATACTAATGTACATATCATTCATCATCGAACTGATTGTATCTTTTGCTCAAGATGTGAGACTGAGGTGAAAAAACTTTTTGTTTAAGTAACAAAGGAATAGAGTTAATCTTCAATAAAAACAGCAAATCATGAAGTGGACAGAACTTTTTCTTCGTAACTGAGACAATTGCAAACCACTGCAAAGGAGACTCTTGTCGTCTTATGGAATAGCGCCCATGTTTCTAGGCTGGATCTTTGCAATGTGTAGAACACCTAGAACATCACTTTGAAATTCAGCATTGAATCTAGTCAAGTTCCCTGCAGCTCAGTGGGTGGAGCATCTAACTGCACCATTTTGCGGTCCGTCGTCAGGGTTCAGTCCAAGGTGCGAGGAAACTGGTTTTTTTTTTTCTTTTCTTATCATATTTTTCTCCTTGCTGATAATAGGTCTTCGATGTGTTAATATGCTTATGAAATGAATAAAATATTTTTGTATAATCTCATACTATTATAAGACGAAGCATTAGTCTCGTTTTCTTTTATTAATGAAATATACGCATAATGCAGATTATGGGGTTTTTACGGAAATCCAACAGTTTGAGTCTCACAAGGATGAGTAGCGAATCTATTCATTGCTTTTTGAACCATTTCAGAGTTCTTTTCTTGTACAGAATACTTTCTACAGTCCAGTAAATGCTGATTTTTCATCCTCTCAAATGATAATTCCTCTAACACAATGCATCTCAGTCCTTTTGATTCTCAATTGGCTCCAAAACGTGCGAACAACACTCTGCACCAAATCAGTGACGTATCAGTCAATCATTGGATAAGGCTGCAAATCCATATTCATCAGTAATTGTAAAATTTTCAGTAAACCACGCGGTCCGTAGAAGAGTGAAGACGTGCCTTTCGATGTTTCTGTTGGACCATTTCAGAAGAGTATCAGAAGGATTCTGGCGTTACTAACCACACAAAGTGAGTATTCCTTCTTCAAAATATTGAGTAAAGTTCCTGCAGAGAGCTAAAATTGTCGTATCATCTCGGTTAAACGACCAAACGCGAGTAAGCTGCTTTGTCTGGGCGGCTCATCAACTTGAAGTTTGATTGAATTAGAGTGATGGCTTCAAGAAAAGCAGAACCCGTGATTGCAAAAGATCTGAAGAGAAATTCATGGCTTTCTTTCGGTGAATCAATGAAGATTTCAAGAAGCTTTTTTTTAGTTGAATATGGCCACGGTATATGTAACGACTCTTCTATAAATGAATTGGTGGCCTTAGTTCATTTAACATTATATTTTGAAAATTCTCGGTGTGTTCCCTTTCTTCCATAATTGTGCTCTAGTGGGAAGAAATTAAATTCATTTGAAAATTATATTTGGAGGTTGTAATATTGTCCGTCTTCGTTCTGAGACAATGAGCATTCCCTGATCACATTCAAGATTTCCGTATCTTTAGGAGAAGCTAAGTTATCAGAAGGATGGAAGGACAGAGATTCTGGTCAAGAGAATTCACTGGAATGACTGGATTATTTGTGGATTATTTGTGGATACTGCAAAGATAAGAGTTTTGAAAGGATTGACTAACAGTAGCAAAAATGGTGGCTCTTTATAAGTAAAAGTATTGTGCGAAGTCCTCTTTTTCTTCTCGAGTACTGGAATGGATAAAACTGGTTACCTGATTAGTGAAAAGTTTTCAATATGCCACCATTTTTGGAGTAGTTCATCATGATGTGGATTGTTATGCAAACCTTCAGCGACCGCACGATTTATTTTAACTACAAGCTATAATTTGGTTCAATTTATCCCAGATGATATTAGATTTCGTTGATGTCGAAGCACTACTCGCTCTTTTGGTTTGCTTAACAGTTTGTATCTCCACTATACCCCACTTGATGTTACACAGAGTTGATATTTGTTAAGACGGCACTCAAACAAAAGACCTCGGACAAAGACCAAATGAAATCTAAAATTCAAATTTTTCCCGTTTCACATATTTCAAAACGCGCTCTTTTAAATCACAGTATTGACTGGTATGTTATTACTCGATGTTCAACCTACTTTGCACTATTTTTAGTGACTAACTTTAAAAAGCTTGTTGGCAAAACATTGATTTCACCGAAAATTAATTCTCGGCATGAACTGAATCAAACTGGAAATTAATCGCTTTCGTTTAAAAAAAAGAAACAGTTATTCGCCATACATGAAGGTAAAAAGCAGTACAATGCCATCTAAGAACTTCTATCTACTACTTTGTGCAATTAACTGTGCTTGGTTTTCGTGAAAGTGTTAGGTTTAAAACTTTATGCCTGGTCAAGAGCTCTTCCTAGAACCTGTTTGGATCGAAACCCACCATTATATAAACCAGTAAAAACTGACGAATGAGCACAGGTTTATATCATATTTCGAGTAGCTTTTTTTATCCGAAAGAGTAGAAAATTACCTTGAAAATCGTTGAAAAAAAGTTTACGCTTTGGACGAAAATCTGTGCCAACATGCAAACCATCTATTGGCTATAAATAATACAACTATTGGCATTTAAGCGTTAGTTTGTTATGAAAGAGCGTAATTGTCTCGTGGTATTCCCAGAGGAACAACTTGAAATTTTGGCGAGGCCCATTTATTTAAACGGACAAAAGAGCGAATTAGAAATGCAAATAAAATAAAACTGCTTCATTCAATATTTTTCCAAACCAAATTGTATTCAATTTTCTTGTTGAATATTCTCATATAGTACAATTAAAAAAAAAATAAAACAAAAAAGAAACAATGAAGAAGTGAACTTTTTACACGACTCAGGCAGTCAGAGGGCCTATAACTAAAATCAACCAATCAAAATTCTCTATTACCGGTCCAATATTCTCTGAGTATTGGACCGGGCACTGTCCCGAATGGTCCTGAATGATACCGCACTTGTGTCCCTTTGAACTTCAGTCGTATAATAAATCTCTTATTAACCAAGCTTGCTCGGGACCGTACTGGAAGAATATCGGCCCTCGCGCTTGGTTAATAAGATATATATACATTCTCGTAAGATTATCGAAATTTTAACAGAAGGGTTTATTTTTGGATTCCGATGGTTGACTTTTTGCTGGTTTATACACAGTTGTTTCTTCAATACGAACTTTTTAGGTAAACTCAATTAACCTTGTAAATTGAGTCGTATTTGCAAAAATGAATGACGTGTTGCTCTCCAGACCAGGCATTTGGTTTTAAAATAGTTACTTCAGTTACTCCTTAGATTAAGTGGAAGGAAGATCTTAGGTGTGGTAACTCAGTGTAACACAGGAATACACAAACAAAAAATCTTTCCAAAAAATTAATTTTTTTAAGACTCAATTTATACTTAAAATAAAACAAATATTCGAGAGCCATTTGTTGCAGAAATGAATCGTAATTAACCTGGAGTCTAATTGTTATCTGTCCTAGCTCTTGCGGCTAAAATCAAGAGTTAATATTGTTTCATTTTCAAATTAGGTTTAAGAAATTTGGAGCCTAATTGTAAGACGTCTTAGCCTTTACGGCTGAAATCAAATTAAAAGAGCCTTCTCCAACATTGATACCATTTCATTTCTCAAACTTGGAGCCTAATTGTGGAATGTGTGAGCTCTTTCGGCCAAGTTCAAATTCAAAGAGTGTTCAAAGAATTCTATTTTTCAAATTGCTTTTTAAGTTCAAGGCCCTTTGAGCCCAACTTTTTTTTCGGATTTGGAGTATGCTCTAGTAAGTCTTTTTTCATGATCAAGTACTTTTCAACCTGTATCCTGTGTTACATTTGGAAACTGACGACTTTAAAGATATTTTACACCGAAAAATCATCATAGCATGCCATAGGATTTAAAAGAAATTGTTTGGTTTCAAAATCGAACTCTGAGGTAAGCAAATTCTGCAGCTTGCCATGATGTTTTTTGTTTACAACTTCCACACACTCCATCTCGTGCAAAGATATTGAAATTCAGAAAACATAGTTGAGTCAGAATTTCCTTCGGAAAATAAGCAGCGACATTTTCTAGAATATTTCGAATTTTGAGAGGAAAAATTGGCGTTTACTTCACAATTTTTTTCGCACGGAAATTTCAAAGGAAGTTTTGTTAAAAATTTTGCCGGAAATGATGCCAAGGGAAACTCTGTGCAAATTGGTCCAGATTTTCCCGCCAAAAGTCTTAATATATATACGAATAATTCTTCTAGACACCTTTTTAATGATTAATTTGATTGTAGAGAATTTAAAACAAATAAAATACTTTGTTGAATGAAACTTTTGTGGTCTATTGTATATTAATAATACAAGAAGACAATAAAGATAAAGTATATTTACAAAATGACTTCGATAAAAAAAAAAAAAAAAATGGCGCATGCGTATTTTAAGTCTTTTGGCGTGAAAATTCGCCACATTTGAACAGATGTTACTTACAGACTGAATAACACAAAATAATTGGCGCATGCGTAGTATAAGCGCCCATAGAAACTATGGCGGGAAAATTTCACACTTTTAAACAGCCCATGCCCTGAATAATTAGCCGACAAAAAAAATTTTTTTCGAGTCCAGCAAAATCATGAAATTACATTTGCTCACGTTTAGCTCTAGAAGACGTCGATTTTAACGAATAACTTGGCTCCAACTCGCTGTATTCTTGAGAGAAATGCGCTACCTCTGAATAGATCATGGTATTCACTTGAATCACAGCCTTTGTTTGATTCCTGCATCAGTCAGTCTGCAAAAACGAAATGAAAAGAAACGCTAAATTAACAAATGTAACAAAACTATTTCGCTACGTAAATAATCACAAACCGGTATTTAAATCCTGCAGTGTTGAGTCGCTCTATAGAGGGGACGTGAACGTAACGTGGATCTACCGATTCAATTTGAAAGCAAATGAATATTCTCATAGGGGATTGAATTAAGTCAAATTCTTGCTTTTCTCCTACTTCTAGGTATTGAACGATTAAGTTCATTCCAGTGAGTAAACAGGATGTAATTTTGTTTCACAAGCAACAAAAAGTAGAAACTCCAAATGTTCGCCCTTAATTCCTCTGAGATCATCATGTTGGTGTGTAAGTAATAATTGTGCACATTGAGTTTCAACTGCTATTTATTACTACATTTCCTATTGCTTACTTCAATGTAAATTCAAGCCGCAAACAACAGTGCTACTCTTTCATAAAAATTGAAAAACGTCAAGGAATCCAATGGTTTTTGCAAGCTTTTGGTCACACCTTGTTAATGTTGACCGCCTTAAAATAGAAAAATGTGGCCTTTATTTGACGGTTTATGAAATGAGGTAAACATTGTGTAATTTTAAAAAAAAAAAAAAAAACTAGACTATTATCAAACTTATCAGAGATTTAAAATAACATTCGGGGGAAAAGTTAGTGAAATAGCAATTTTTTGAGCACGAATTTGAAATCAGCCTCGAGACATTAGACAACAAGGCTGCAAACTTTTTACTGAATAAAGTACCAAAGGTTTAATTTTGAAAATAAATCAGGCGAACATAAAAATAATCTGAAGCGATTCAGGAACAGGTTGAACATTTGATAATTAAGCTCCAAAGATGCTGATAAGTTGCAAAACAATGACTAGAATTTTTGTCACGACTCCAGTGTTTTACCATCCACAGACACAAGAAACAATACGCTAGGACTGATTTGTAAATCGCCCTGATCTAAGATAGTTTCTGGCACCCGAAATCAACATTAAAGAAAACAGAATCATTTATTTATTTGCCGCTTTGCTACAATTTTGACTTTAACTGACCAATTTTGAATTGTGGATATTAGGTAAATCCAGGTTGGTAGGTTCAACACAGACCAGCAGACCAGACTTCTAAGCGCATATGAAAATTTTATTACTTCGATAAAAATAAAATAAACAAAAAAACAACGCACCTGAATTGAACTCGTTCCTTGTTCCCTTGAATTATTTGATTTAGTGATAATCTCATCCTCTGCCAGACGCTTTCCTGACGAGAAAAAGCAAGAAAATTTATATTCTGAAAACAAATATACTTATAAGATGGTAAGGGATTTTCTTATGAATGATGAAGATCAATGTTGGGATCGAAAGATTCAATCAGAGCCATCACATTTTAGAATGACAGTTCTAATGTCCTTAATTGAAGACGACAGCAAATTTCATTTCCATCCCTTGGTACATGCTCTCTGACACACACACACACACGCACACACACACGCACACACACACACGCACACACACACGCGGGCTAGACCGTTACCGTGGAATTTTAAATAAGAAATTTTAGACGCTGCTCTGGCGGAGATCGGAGGTAGGAGACATAGCAGGCGCGTTAAAACAACTTAAACATTAAAACATAATTTAAAAAAAACTGCGTACGTAATGGTAATAAGTAAAAAATTAGAAGTAACTGATTCGGCAAGCGATCAGTACAATATCAATACAAGTACGTATTTCTCTCGGCTGCCCTAAAAGTCACGTGCCTCATCAAGAACTGCCATGGCGGTCACCACACACAATTTCTCTTGCACCGCTCTGTGTGTCAAACGCTTTTTTTACATTTACCTCTAAGAACTAATTTTGGCAAGAATTCCGTATTATTGGATAAAGGAAAGCAGGGGCAAAACAAAAGATTTCCTTTGGGACTACGGCTTTGTTTTTGATTGGTATGGGGTTATACGGAAATCTTTCCATTAATTTTACTTAAGCAATATTGAAAAACACGAATACTACATTTAAATCCAAAATGAATATATACAAAGGTTATTCACCTTGAGAAAAGTCGTGACAAAATGACATTCATTCATCCTTCTTCGTCCTCAAACTCGAGGAAAACCTCTCCCGCCTTGACAGAACTGACGATATTTAAGGTATTTCGATGAAACATAATGTGTTTCTTGGCCCCAGAAAAGCTGAAAAAGAGGCTGACATTTATTACAGCTCGTAAAGACTTTCCACGAGCAAGACTGATCTAAAATATTAATATTGTTTCAAAATTATTTGTAATTCAAGTGAGTTTTCCGACCGAAAACCATCGTTTACTTTCGTGAAAGTTTATACAATGAGGTGACTAGCGGTGAGTTGATTTTGAACTCGGTAAAGTTCAACAGAAGTGTGCACACCCTAGGAATAAAAGAAATACTACGTGGAATTTCACATAGAACGAAATATCCTAGTATAGAATTAACTAAATCAACTGATGGAAAAACCGTGTATAAATAAAGTTATCCTATCCTATCCCTTGAAGAACATTTCGCTATAATTAAGAACCTGCCTAATGAAATTCCCGGAATGTCGATCTTTTTTTCGTTTCTCTAAGCACTTCGAATTACAGTACTCCAATCTGCAACCATATCAACGAATAAAGGAACACTGAGCTGTACTTTGCAACTTTCCTATCAAATACAGGAACGTATATTTAATAATGATGAAATCTATATGCTATAAGATGATCATCATATTCACAATCTAGGAGAATAAGGAAACAATTCTTAACAAAACTCTGGAATTTGGATGAATATCAGCCACTAAACGTGGATAATTGCTGAAAAAAATATACCTCGTTATGAGCCTGCATTTAGCAAGCTCCCCACCCCTCACCCTTCCCCCCTTCCTACACCTATATCATTTAGGGACATACATTTGGAGCAGATCGTCATATGAGAATTAATTTAATTACATTAAGGAAAAGTTCTATTTGATTAAAAATATCTGGTCAGTGGGGATAAACTTTCTAATTGTACCTTTTGTGTTGTGTTCATGACTTGAACCCTTTAATACTTCCATCACCTCACGACTCTCATCCAAGATCCAGGATTCTCAGCTGTCCATGGAGAATTTCCACAGGCCACCGTAAGGTTTGTACACAGGCCACCGTAAGGTTTGTACACAGGCCACCGCAAGGTTTGTACACAGGCCACCGTAAGGTTTGTGCACAGGCCACCGTAAGGTTTGTACACAAGCCACTCTAGGCTGCAGTTTGTCTCTCCTCCACTGCTTGAATGTGAATGATCCTAGGCAATCAGCATGTGTAAAACCACTTTTCACCTGTATGGTATTTACTAATGGTGAACAGTTTAGAATAGCACAACCCTTAAAAAGAAAAGCCTGCTGAAACGTACCAAGACAACAAACGAAAAAGAGAATATAGATTGAAGAGGTAAAATAATAAGAAAAAAAATTAACAAATTATTAATATAAATCTTGAATTTCCAGATGAATTATTTGGCCATGAGCAGTTAACTACCCTCAGGCATTAGGTTTCTTCACACCCCTTCCCCAACCCAGTCCATCATCTCTACCATTTGTAATGGGTGTGACCAAGTGATTTGGGGTAGTCCTGGATTCTTCCTCTCAACCAAACAATTATTTATATCATTTTTTTTTTTAATTCCATTTTACTGCAAACAGATACAACTTCTAGTGAAGGTCTTTTATACCATGATGGAATGTTTATAGTCTCCTGTAGAGTTCAGTTTACACTTTCAGTCATCAACCTTGCCACTTGACCTCACCCACAGTAGAATTCTTGTGTTCTTTCCAAATAAAACATAGAATACTACTGCACATACAATATTCCTTGGGGCTCTTTAAAAACACTCCTTTCAGGTTCTAGATTTAATAGAGAAGCAGGTGCAGTGCATCCACCTTGTTGGAGAATATATATTCTTGTCCAAGTTTACAAAATATTGACAGAATAAGCATTTCAGTTTCTTCACATAAAATCATCTTCATCTGATTCAGCATCCTGGAAAGGGGAGATGAAAAAGAATACAACCTCTGTTCAGATATCACATCAGTATCGGATTGTCCATCCTAACAACACAGATATCACATCAGATATAACACAGATATAACACAGATATCACATCAGTAT